AGTTGTTTGCAGGACAATTTTTAATAAGTTGATATTGATCCGGTGTATTAAAGTACAAAATATACACATGAGAATATAGTACATATGATAAGTGTCAATTAAGATCTTATCAGACTTTATATACAATGTTTAGATATTATTGACACGTCAGAAGCAAATACTTTCGTATTATAAACATTTCTTTATCCCTTATTAATAATGATGTTTCATATAATTCTTCACCCTTATTAATATTGAATTAATGAGTATGACTTTACGTCATCTCATAATTTCTGACATACTTTTACATCTGAACAGTGTGAGATAGAAAAAAAAAGAATCTTTTCATTCAAATATTTTAACCAGATAACCGAAGGAAAAACGTGAATTATAAAAACAAGAAAGTGAGTTGTTTTTTTAAATGGATTTTTATTTTTAAAACTTCCTTGGCATCATCAGATAAACCTTTCAAAAAAACAACTTATTATTGGTCCTATAGTGTAGTGGTCATCACTTTCGGTTTTGATCCGGACAACCCCGGTTCGAATCCGGGTAGGACCTGTTTTTTGAATTTTTTTTCACAAGAGTTCAAGTTCAGAGTGCACTACTTCAATGACGGTGAATCAAATTGACGAGTCTACAGTCCACTATTGTGACTGTTGTTCGTTTCATATAAAAACATTGAATTATAATATAAAAGGTCTAGTAAATAGAAATCAATCCTAATCACGCTCTTACTTTGAAGTTTCTTGTAGACAATAAAAGGAGAGTTCTTCGAATATCAAATTATATGTGAGAGAAAGATAACTGATTATTTCAAATCAACTTCCCCTTTAGGTGGTCTCCTTCCTTTAGGTTTTTCTTCTTTAATTTCCTTATTGTCTTCCTCTTCCTCATCATCATTTACTTCTAATTCAACTTTATTGTTAGTTGATACCGGTGTATCTTTTGATTGTTCAGTTTTAGTAGCTGGTGTTTCAGGGACTGGCTTCTCTGATGCCAATTCCGCGTTATCCAATAAGTTTCTTAAAGCATCAACTGATTTCTCATGGTAAGCTAACTTGGCAGCTGCAAAATCCTTTAAGTTTTGTTCAAATCTGTTGTTACTAATAATTTCTTGCATTACCATTATAGCATCCTTAGTAGCATGATTAAATTCATCTTCTAAAATTTCCAATTCAACTTTCACTGTACCGTTCTTTTCGTGTTTTGAATATTTTTCTCTTGCAATATCATACTTTAATCTTTTATGATAGACCTCCTTACGGTATTTTGAGGCTCTTTCGATACTTTGGGCAATTTCTTCCCTCAATTGAAAGTTAAATTTGGCTTGAATACTATGGTCCTGTAGCAATCTGGCTTCAGCAATAGAAGCCTCAGCATTACCGACGTTAGTTAAAAGATTAGCAATTCTCTTATCATCGGTATCGTGCAATTTCTGGAATTGTTCACTTGCACCCATGGAAACTTTACTTACAGCATAATTTAAAGTCCTTGGGGTTTTACCCGATGAACCTTCAGTACTGACTCCATTTGAAAATTCATACATTTTATTACCAATACTATCAGTAAATTCATTTACAGATTCCGAAAACTCTTTTGGGTAATCATAAGATTCCCTTTCATAAATAGAAGTGATCTTCAAAAAATGTTCATAGACACTCTTATAAGTATCAATCTTTAGTTCTAAATCCAAATATTCTTGTGGCAATGGAGAAATATCATCGACTTGACCCAATTTCTCCTTAACCATACGATGTGTGCTTTGAGCAACGGTTGGAATAGTTGAAGTCAATTCTTGAGTCTTTGTCGTTAACTCCTGAAATTTTTTACCCACAGATTCACTAAAAGCACCAAATGACATTTTTTCCTCCCTATTAATAATTATAATTATATTGATGTGATCAATCACACCTTATTAACTCTAAAACATGAATCAAATTAAAAACTTCAATACTATACAATAATTGAAACGTAACAATTTTATATCCCAATCCCTGTAAATTTAAACGTCTTTCGGGTCTCGAAATCAAACTTTAAAGCTTTCCTTGATAATGATGACATCATTTGATACAAGAACGATTTTTTTTTTCAATTTCGACTCGATTCGAAATTAATAAGGAAGAGTCTAGTATAATATTAGTAGTTTGGTACTTGGTTGAACTGAATTTGATTAGGTTTGGTTTGATTAGTTTATAATTTGAGATGAATCCAATTAGTTCATTCTGTTACGAGTTGTATAACTATAGACTTTTTAAAAAATTATCTTTGTAGTTAGGAATTAGGGACAATTGATGGTGAAGAAGGAACGTGAAGGTATCAAATTGATTTAGTTAGGAAGACAGAGGTTTTCCATTGAGAGAGATAATATTCATGTTATTGGCGATGAGGTCAAATTTTTTAATTCATAGACAACTGCTGAAATCTTGTTGTAATAGAAAATTCGAATTTAAGTTTCAATCGCAGTTTCTACGGTTTTATAGTGGTAATAATAGTTTGAATAATGATGACTCAAATTTAATGAAGGGCAATTTAGGTTCGAATTCAAGTGGTAAAAGTTTAGACGATTTAGATTTCAAGAAACACCATAAGATACGATCGCAAATCGAACTTTTGATTCAGGATTATGCAAAGAAACCAATTCCCAAACTGACTTATCAGTTATTAACAGAATATAAGCCACCATTAACTGATAATGATAATTTTATGTTAAGTATAAAAACAATTAATTTATTGTTGTCTTATACTTGTAGAAGGCTCAATGCTTTGCAACAATTGCCATATATCGCTGTTTTAAATCCTAATATCGAAATTAGCAACTCTTTATATTTGAAGACTTTACAGTCATTATTATCAATAGAATATCCGTATGGTCTACATAATAAAGAAAACATGGTAAAATTATTAAGTGGTTTCTTAGATGATCACCAGGATACTTTAGAAACTTTATCCCGTGGATTACAAGAAATTATTGAGTTTTATCCCAAGGAGAAAACGTTTAAATTTTTAAATGAACATTTAAGGGACAGAATATCAATGAAGTTATTAGCGACCCATTATTTAGCATTAGTGGATCAAACCAAAAAGATCGAAAATGAGAATCTAAAAGATTTCAAAATGGTTGGTATCTTACATAAGGAATTAAAAATCTCGGAATTAGTTAAACAAGTGACAGAATATGTCGGCGATTTAACCTTTGTCAATTATGACAGAATCGTACCTGTAAAGATAGTCCAAGGTGAAGATATTACATTCCCATGTATACCGACAAACTTGGAATATATTTTAACAGAAGTGATTAAAAATTCTAGTAGAGCACATATTGAAACTAGTACTCCAGATAATGACTTGGCAGAGAAACCAATTGAAATTGCAATCTTCCGTCACGATTACGATAATGAACTAGAAATTAGAATTAGAGATTTTGGTGGTGGTATAGCACCACAAGTTGAAGCTAATATGTTTGATTACTCTTACAGCACCGTTGAAGAGAGTAAAAAAGATAATGGTGTAGAGGCATGCATGATTCCTGGAGAAGTTATAAACAATGTATGCGGTATGGGATTTGGACTTCCATTATGTAGAGCATATATGGAGTTATTTGAAGGAAGATTAGACATACAGAGTTTATATGGCTGGGGTACCGATGTGTACCTTAAGCTATTAGGGCCTACGGAGAACGAATTAAAATAATGGATTGATTTAATTAAACGTAGGATTCTTGTTTTTTTTGAGTAAAGTTAAACTATGTTACGTAATGTCAGGTTATATGTATACAAATATATATGTATATTAGAATACGTATATGTATAATATTTACATGAAATGAATGATATATATTGTATTTAAGTTTCTAAATGATGGAATATTCTTTTCTATTATTGTTGCTTTGCATTAAACTCTAGCACCTCCTCTCTTAGCAGAAACAAAAGATGAATCTCTACAGGTCTTAGGCAACAAACCAATAGCTTGACATCTTCTAACAGCTTTGCTCATTCTACGTTGGTTTTTAACTGATAATCCAGTAACATCTCTATGTAATATTCTACCTGTTGAAGATAAGAAATGAGACAAATATTCGGGATTACTGTATAGATCCAATGGGTTTATGCCACAAACTTCAAAGATATCATTTTTTGAGTTTGATTTTGTTTTAAACTTTGTATCTAGATGTAATTTTGCCAATGAAAAATCGAATGGATCATAAGTTGAAGACAGCTTAAATCTCCTCGAAAACTTGGCATCAATCTGAGTCTTTTGTTCACTTTCAGCCAATTCATTGTTAACCTGTGTCAAATCCAACTTTGTCTTTTGTACTGGAGTTATGTTAACTTTAAAAGAAGAGTTGATCAATGAAGATGAACTGAATCCTCTCAGATTATTCAATTTCCAGCAATTTTTAAAATTCATTGAAAGCATCTCTATCCTTAACTTTTTCAACAAAACAAAACAATCCAATACAGTACAATTTCTAGAAAACAGATACTTCCAAGCTTAAACAATAATGTCAATATTCTTCTTTATAATGTTCTTGTTATATGTATATCTATCTATTTTTCAGTTTCTTCTTAGTCGTAACTTAAACTTTAATAGCGTTCGTTCTTAACAAATTGAAAATTTAATATATTTAAAAAGTTAGCAGCAAGTAAGCAATTTAAGTATATAAAAAATCAAGAGATAATAAATTTGTAATATAGATCTGAGCTCTTTAAGATGTGGTTTGTCAATATAATAGGTTATATGTATATATTGCGTATATATATTGTGTATGTATGTATATATTGTTCAGTACAGTTCGAAACCATTAAAAGTTGGATACATAGAAACACAGCATCATTATGGACGGTAGATCTTGAGAGGTTATCCCAATTTGAACAAGTTGGCAATAAATTGGAACTGACGACGACTATAAAAGAAGGATGAATAATTGTAACGTTTCCCATTTAATTGATGACTTTATTATATAGTTCATCTTTATCATTCTTTGGTTATTTATTATATAGGACTGATATCTCCAGAGAATTATATAATTAGTTTAGAATGGGTGGAGCTTGGATATTTATATTTGCCGTAGTATTAAATTGTGTTAACTTATTTGCACAAGTACATTTTACTATCTTATATGCAGATTTAGAGGCAGATTATATAAATCCAATTGAATTATGTTCTAGGATTAATAAACTTGTTAATCCGGAAGCTTTATTGCATGGTGTTACCTCGTTGATTTTTCTACTGACTGGCCATTGGTTTGTGTTTTTGATTAATTTACCCTTGTTGGCTTACAACGTCAATAAGATTCAGTTGAAGAATCAGCTATTGGACGCTACTGAGATTTTCAGATCGTTGGGTAAACGTAAGAGGGAAAGTTTCTTAAAGCTGGCCTTTTATCTGTTGATGTTCTTTTATTATTTGTATAGAATGATTGCTGCATTGATTGTAGAAACTGGTAAATGAACAAAATAAAATAAGATAAAATTGAACATGAAGATGAAAAGAAAATGCAGATGCAAATGCAAATGAAATTGAAAATAATAAATTAAAATAAAAGGATAGCCATCATTGGAATGGATAAATAACTTTTATTTGTTTTTTATTTTAGTGTTAATAGTTTTCATTTGATATTAATTGTTTTTGTAGGATTGAATTTATTCTATCAATCTTCGCAATTGTTCCATTATAGGGATCCAACGTTGTTGATAATAGATTTGTATTTGATATATTTAAATCTTTTTTAACAATTTCTGTATTATTTAATAAATTTTGATTTAATTGATTTAGTTTATTATTCAATTGTATTCTTTCCTTTAGTTTGGTATGTTCTTTCTGCAAGCTGTACCAATCATGTCCATTCTTGATCTTGCTTAGGTTTGACCTTATCGTCACTAAATTCTCATTCATCTCCTCCTTTGCGTTGACAATCTGTCTTAATTGGTAGCACAATTCGTTGTTGGAAACGTTTATATCTAAAATATCTTTTAAATCATTTTGCATCGATTTCATTACCATTGTGAAAATTTTTAAATCTAATTTCGACATAAGTTTATCGATCTGCTCAGTGTTGCTATTGAAGTCATTCAACGCTTGTGGTATCAGATCCAATTCGAATAAATCGGTGAATAATGAAATGAGCACGTCTATAGTGGTCACTGAAGTGATAGAAGATGAAAGCTGTCGTAGTGGGATATCATTGAAGTTATATTTAGTTTGTTGAGCAATTGAAACATCATCACGATACCCTCTTGGGCTATCTACTTTTGGTTGTTCATTGTATTCGTCATCATCTAATACATGCGAGTATTCGATATTAGGAGGTTCATTATAATGTGGTGCTTCGTCAATTGGCGCATCATCAATTGGTGCCTCATATGTTGGTACCTCATCTATTGGTGGTTCGTCGAATCGGGGTTGTTCGTTGAATTGAAATGATTCATCTTGTACTTCTCTTACTGGAGTTCTGATAATTACGGGGACATCAAATAATAAATTTCTTAGTCTTTTACCTCTTCCTCTCTGTCTGAGAAGTAACTTTGTTCCTCTGTCCATCTCAAACTATGTTATTGTCTTGGTGAACTTCACTTACAATCACAGAAACAGTTGACTTTTCCCTCTTTTGCTATCTCATCTCATTTCTTTATATATACTTTTTCAAAATATATATACATTTGTTGATTTTTTTTTGTTCGTCGTTACAGCACGCAGTTTAAATTATCGTGTACCTTTATTAAACCAGTATATTTAAATATAAAGAGACTAAACTAAATAAAATTAAAAAAAAAATAACACTGAGAGACTCACGATGGAGACAGATAAAATATTTATAAAGACATAATAATAATAGTTAGTTAGTTAACTTGATTTAACTCCAAATCACAATGATTTTTTTTCATCGTAGTAATGTTCACCTCTTTTTGCAGCTAATTTTAAAGCGGATTCTTTACCATCGTCCAAGAGAGCAACTCTAAAGTCAGCCAAGACGTTTTGAGCAGCGTTTGAGTGACGGTAAACACCACCATTGAAAGCGCTGGTGGCGTCTTTACCCAAAGCTGATTTGATTAAAGTTTTACCACCTGGGTGATCATTGATATAGTTCTTAACGTTATGCACAACACCGGAGATGACGACTAATTCTGGATCACTCTTTAAATTTTCCAAGAATTGATCCTTTGACCAGACTGGTAGATCAGTTAGACGAGGGCCCCAGTTCAATTTAGCACTCTTGGCGTCGATTTTCTTTTGTTGTTGTTGGATTAAAGCCTGTTCGATTGCATTTTGTGAGAATTTTTTCAAATCGAATGCCATGCCAAATATGTAGTTTGCGTAGATGAACATCTTAGTAGGGTCGTATTGATACCATTTGATTGCGTTTCTATAATCCGAAGGGAATTCGTGGTGGAAGTTATGGTAACCTTCACCGAAGGTGACGATAGCGGTCATCCAGTTGTCTCTTGGGGTTCTTTTGTCGTCAAAAGGTTGAGCACCGATATAGTGAGCCATTGAGTTAATACAGAAAGTGGCTTGTTGGATGGCGAATACTCTTAGGATACCTGCGTATAGGAAACCTCCTAGGTAGTCGTTGAAGAAGTAGCCGGTGACTAGAGAAGGGATGACGAAAGCTGTGATGATCATAATTGTGACATAGTGTCTGTGTTGGAATCTGACGATCCAGTCATCGTTCAAATCTTGGATGTCAGCTCTGGCCTTGTATTTTGGGTTTGGTTTGACCAACATCCAACCCATGTGAGAGTACCATAGCCCTTGTCTTGCGTCGTAAGGGTCTCTTGGCGTGTCTGTGTATCTGTGGTGAATTCTGTGAGAGTGGCCCCACCATTTGATTGAACCTTGGACAGAAGCGGAACCGAATATACCAAAGAACAATCTTAGTGGCCATCTTGCGGAGTAGGCTCTGTGAGACCACAATCTGTGGTAACCGGCAGTAACACAGACACCACCCAAAACGTAGTAAGCGGCAGCGAAGAGTAGAGTGTTTCTATGTAATGGGACCAAACCTGAGAAGGCGGTGATCCAACCTAGAGTAGGTATGAATACGACTAGGACCATGTTTAGCCAGTTGATGTGATTATGCCAGTTGTTGAAGGTCCAAGGTTGTTCGGAGATATGTTTTTGGGATTGGGATTGGGATTGGGGTTGTGAATGGGAAGAGGAAGAAGAGGAGGAGGTAGGTTTATTGAAGTCTACCATTTCTTTACTTCCCATTAGAGAGCCGAAACCGTTTACGACTCTTTCATTTTTTTTATTCAAACCTTGAGCGAGCACGTTAGCTTGCGAGACGTCTAGAGACTCTACTTGAGTTAGAGTCGACATTATTGCGATATGGGGGGGGGAGTATATGCTAGAGTGATTTAATTTAGTTATTCAGTTGATAATTAAATAAGTAAGTAATAAGTGTGAAGGGGAAGGGAGAGTGGGATAGAAGAGATTTAGAATTGGGATGTTGAGTGAACCAGTCATCCTTTATATATGTGATGACTTTTGTAGAATGTGCAAAGAGTCGATCGAGAGAGAGAGAGAGAGAGAGAGATTGGTGTCTCAAGATATTGCAGATGAGATAGCAAGAGCGATTGCAAGTGAGTGTTTAATACAGGATATAGCAGTAAGGTGTAGTGTGCGGTAGGCTTTAAACAGTTTGGTTTGGTTTGGTTTAGTGTGTTTAAAGAAATCCACCGAGCGGAAATCCAACAAATCAGCGAGAGCGAGAGCGAGCGAAAGCGAAAGCGAGCGAATGTAGATTGTAGATGCGAGACGAGACGAGACGAGACGGGACAAGCCGCCCAACCAAACCAAACCAACTCAACTCAACTCAACTGCGACTGATACTCACACAGATACTCATACTCATACTCATACTCAAACCAGAAACAGGAAAAGGCCCAAACCCAAACCCAAACCCAAACCCAAAAACCGAAATCAAAAGCAAAAGCAAAATCAGCAAACCAAAAACCAAAAACGTAATCCCCAACAAGAACAAGAACAAGAACAAAATAGACGCAGGCAGTAACGTGACCGGAAACAAACAATGGGCAGTGTTGCCTTTGCTGTTATCATTTGACAAGAGAGAGAGACACAAAACAAAAAGAATTGACAGAACTTTTAGAGACACAAAAACTAAAACACAAGAGAATGGAATCTACACACTGCATCCACATCCATTTTTTGTGCATTTATCGCGCAATCAACACTCGCTCCGTTCCCAACACAATTATTGTTGAACCTGTTATCCCCGTGGGTGTTGCGAACCATATCACATAACACATAACACACAACACAGAGAGACAGAGAGATAGAGACAAAGACAAAGACCTCTACACCACGGCCGTCCCTTATCAGCGCAAGGCATTTATGATTTAAACCCAAAAAACAAAACATTTTTGGATTTGTATATCCCTATCCCATCCCATCCCATTCCTTACTAGACCCGTCCCCCCTTCCCCCCCCCGTCCAGCCAGAATCTCTCAACTGCTCTCCGGCCCAGGTTTCCACCTTCCTCTTCGTCTTCTCATCCCATCCCATCCCAACCCAACGGATATAAAACAAATTGGGTTTCATCTCAACAGAAGCGAAAAAGGGACGGTCGTATCGTATCGTATCGTATCATATTGAACTGATTTGAACTGATTGCATTTCACTTCACTTCGCTTCACTTCACTTCATCTGATTCCACTTCTGTTCTGTTCCTGTTGTTGCATTGATTTCAAGTCAATTCGTATGTTTCTGTCACATCCACTGCAACTCTCAGTCCAACCCAGCAATTGTTGGTTGAAACATACACAAGCTCATTCACACTCACACTCACACTCACACTCACATACACAACCTCTCTCGGGAAATGGGCCTCTTTGACATCCTATTCCTCTGCTGTGGTGCCCAATCTTCCGCCAACTCTCACCAGAACAATCGCAATACCAATACCAATACCAATCACTCCAACAACAATCACCTTTCCAATAACGGCAACTCGCTGGATGTTGAACAGAAATTAGAGATCAACACTTCTAAACTAATTACACACCCGGTAGTTCCACCCGTTGTCTCTGACACCTTCTCACCAACAGTCTCATCCTCTTCCTCTTCCTCTTCCTCTTCCTCTTCCTCTTCCTCAAACTCATGCCAACTCCATGGTACTCTCCCAATCAACCAAGTCTTGGCACCGGAACAGGAAACTATTCTTACTCAAGAAACAAACACAACTACAAACACAATCACAGATTCCAAAAATGAAGAACTGCAAGATCACCAAAGTACAGCCGATAGTGTCCAGGACAACTTCTCAACCATTTCATACTCTTCTCTACAAAAAAATCAATTCCACGCTCCTGGTTGCAACACCCTCCTACCACCAATCCAACAATCTCTACAGAATAGAAAATGTCTCGTGCTGGACTTGGACGAAACTCTAGTCCACTCATCGTTTAAATACGTCTCAACCGCAGATTTCGTCTTGCCTGTAGACATCGACGACCAATTCCAAAACGTCTACGTCATTAAAAGACCAGGTGTAGACGCTTTCCTACAATACACAAGTAAACTCTTCGAAGTAGTCATCTTCACTGCCTCGGTAGAAAAATACGGTAACCCTTTACTAGATATCCTAGACTCTACAAACGATTTGGTTCATCACCGTTTGTTCAGAGACGCTTGCTATAACTACAATGGCAACTACATCAAAAACTTAGCCCAGTTGGGTAGACCGTTAAGCGATATCATCATCTTGGATAATTCACCAACTTCATATCTATTCCACCCAAACCATGCTATCCCAATCTCTTCTTGGTTCTCAGATGCTCACGATAACGAATTGTTAAGTATTTTACCATTGCTCACAGATCTAGCAAATTCAAAAGTTATAGACGTTTCAAAAATTTTAGATGTCTCTATATAATTACATTTAGACCGCTCATACATATACACATATACACATCCACGTAACACATACACATATATACATACTTATTGACCTATCTCTTCCAATATCTCTTTGCCGATACGTTCAATCACATCATGCGCCCATAACACATCCAAATGGGAATACTCATCGATATACCATATCTTGTACTTGGAATGATCCTCGTGCTCAATGAAATGATTGATCAATTGCTTACCGTCGACTAACCTATCTTGGCGTGGTACAAACAACAATATCCTAGGTCCTTTCTCTTCTATCCATCGTCTATCTTGAGGAAATATCTTATGATACCCATGTTTAAAACTCAATTGTTTACTGCTCAACCACCATTTCATTAAATTAACTGATATATTAACTGGTGAAAATAAAAAATGTCTATCACGCAATTTTTTATCCCACAGATAATCATTCCAATCAAACATATAGTTAAACATAATGTATGATAAATATGAAAATATTCTCCATCCAACTAATATATCACGCATTGTGATCATAAATGGCATGAACGATCTATTACCAAATATCATAGGATGATCGATACCTTTTGCCATCAATTTCACAAATATCTTTTCATGCAATAATGGACCAGGGTATACCGCTGGGGCTAATGCTACAAATGTCTCTAGTTTATCATTTAACGAAAACTCATCATTTTCATATAGTTTCTTTCCATTTACCAATCCCATAAACCCTTGGGTGGTACCTTGCGAGTGTGCTATTAAAGTAATCTTGGGATATCCTGTCCGTTCTATAACTTGTTCGACCAATAGTTTTAGATCATATTTAACCATATCATTTATATCCCAATTCCACTTAGATCTTCCACTTTTATTTGACTCGGTGCTCCATTTGGGGTTAAATCCACATCTATTATTACCTAACCAGACGTCATAACCTGATTCATTGAAAAAATATGCTAAACTTTTACGTCCAGAAGAAGCAAAAGACCCACAGCTCTGTAGCAGTCCATGCAATAACAATAAAGGTTTCCTTTTAACACTTAGATTTTCATTTCTATTCTTCATATGCCATAATTCGATGACGAATCCATCTTCAGTGGTCAATTCAAAATTCTCAATTTCAATATCGTATTGGTTATAGTAATAGTTCAAATCGGGCACTAGATTTGTATCTTCTAGGTCCAAGACGTCATGGAATGGGTTTTCAATATTTTCCGATCTCTGTTTTCTTAATTTTTCATCATTAGGGTTTGTGATGGTATGATCGAATTCGATATTGTTTAAAGTATCCAATTCCAAATCTATTTCTTGGTCGACCTCATTTTGCAAAGGAGTAGTGGAGACAGTTCTCTTGTGTTTTTGGAATTTTTCATTTGGTTGAGACTTAATTTTAGTGTCAGTACTTTTTGTTTCTCTTGAAGCCTGATCATTCCCGAATAGGTTAACTATGAAGATGTGCCATAAGGAGCAGATGAACAAGGACATCAGTGAGAAGAAGAGGATTATGCCAGAACTGACTTTATAGATGAGATCGAGTATTGCTTCCATTACGAGTATGTTTTGTTTTGTTCTTTTAGATTTTAGTATATATATTTTTTCACACACAGACAAAAAAATACAAGCAAAAGGGTTAGGTTCTAGTATACCTTATGCTATATAGCGAGCATGTACTTTGATTAATGGGGTTGTTGTTAGTTGGGACCCTTTTTCCAGTTCCACCAAACAGTATTGAGATATAAAGGTGGTGACCAGATGCAAATGGGTAGTTGTCTCACAGGGGAACGATTGTGTGATTTTATAAGTTACGTGGATCAGTAGTCTGTAAACTTCGACTTCGACTTCAACGTCTAAACTTCAACTTCAACTTAGAGTTGGTCCTGAATCTCACCTGAACTAAACTGTAACTGTAACTGTAATGCTTAGTATCGGATATTTTCTTATATAGTTCGAAGATGTGTCAAAATTTCGGTCATTTCTTGTTTTTCACCTCTGGGAGCGGAGCTGAGCCGAGGGCAGTGGGTTAGACCAAAAAAAGGAAAACGATAAAAAACACACACACACACAAATATTACGTCATCACATCACGTGCCACACATCAGGGTAACAACAAACACGCGTCACCACCCACGAACACCGTACCACATGACCCAGAGAAAGAAAAAAAAAGTAAAAAAAAGTAAAAAGCAAAAAAATTTAACCAAAAAAATTGAAAAACCAAAAAAAACCGAACGAATACACACACGCACACGCACAAGCACTCACAACATCTCTCGTTTTCCTATTTAAACATTTAAATTAACCATTCATACCTATAGTAATAATAATATACAATATAATATAATATAATATAATATATAATATATAATATAATATATTATATACTACCAATATTGTTTGACTTAAAGCTTAATTTTAATTTGCATTTGAACAGTTGGAGGATTGTTCGTTACTGGGTAGCTATTTCTTTTATCTTTCTTTGCACATATATATATATATTTACTTCTTTATATACACTTGTATATGTGTATGTCTATGTGCGAGTAACTGCATCTTCATCTTCTTCATATCTAATTTCAAAAGTTATTCTTAATTTTGATTTTACTGCTGCTTTACATCCAACTCTGTTTATAACATCTGTCTGAACAAAGTATTGTTAATTTGTTTTACAGTTACATCTACATCTACATTTACCTTTACATTTTGATTTTTACGTTGATTTTTTACTTTGATTTTTTTTTTCCCCCACTAAGAAGTAACTTTTCGTCTTTGGTTGGTCCATTAAATTAAAAACAAAACTAAGTTTAACAAGATAAAACAACACAGAACAGAATCAGCCTACTCTTTTTTAAAGAATTGCTCTCTGCTCTCTGTCCTCCTCCCTGTCTCTGTCTCTGGATTGATTCCTTCTCCAGAAATCAAAAACTATAGTTATACCGATTATATTTGTGCAACAAGCAACAACAGAACTGTGCCTGTCTCTCTTGTCTGCGTTTGGAAATAAAACTAAAAACAAAGAAAGCAAGCTAAGCAAGACAGATATAACAAATAGGAAGTTCTTCTGTTTTTTTGCCAGTGATCCATCGAGTCTGTTTGTGGCAATATGTCAGTTACTGATCCTTGGGCATACTCAGATTTTGCTCCTCCTTCAAGAGGAAATAGTCCCATTCTGCAAAATGATAATGGTGTCAATAACAACAAAATTGATTCCGAACTGGCATCAATTGTTTCGTCGTTAAGCGCATTGTCAAACCCTGGCTTTGGAAACACTAACAACGCTAACAACAACAATAACAATAACAATAACAACAACAGTTTGGGCTCTTCTTCTCATCAAATTGGTTCTTTCAGAAGATCAAGTGTGACCACCACAACCAGTGGTGGTAGCATCGCTAACGATGATCAAAATGCTAACCCAAACATGTTGGATGCAAACGATTTATCCTTTTTACAAAAAAGTCTACTAAATTCAGCAAATAATAGAAAGTCCCCAATGTCAGTAGGCACCGCTCCAATCATGAGTGGGAACAATGCAAGAATGAATATCTTGGGTCATTATTCAGCAAGTATCAATGGTCCTTTGTTATTTTCAAATTCAAACAATCAACAATCTGCTGCAAATGAAGGTTTCTTCGAAAAATTCGGTAAATCTTTGATCGAAGGTACTAAGGAACTAGAAAATAGTAACCTTTCAGCAAGCAATTCAAGTACAAACATTCAAGATTTTGCAAATAAAAATTCAATGACTTTGAGCGTACCTACTACAACTACGGCTTTTAGAAGAGCTTCAATCAATTCCTCAGTTACAGATGTAACTGCAAATACCTGCTCTTCTTCAACTTCCTCAAATTCAAACGATAGAAACACAGATATCCTTTCCGAACCGAATGATGAATTTAATAACAGAAGAAATATTTGGAATTTATCGAACATCTCAAACATGCCCATTTTTAAACCAGGTTTTAACAACAGTAATAATAGTAATAACAATAATAACAATAATCAAACCCATATGTTCCCATACCCTCAAAATAATATGAATGTAGGAAACCCTATGATGGTGCCTGGTCAAATACCCCCACCTCCAAACAATCCATATTATTATATGGAAGGTAATTACCCTCCATATATGCCAAATAATATTCCAATGTATTTTGACCCAAATATGAATACAGTTAATGAAATGGAGAGACATGATTCCAATAAGAATAAAAGAAATCCATATAAAAAGAAAAATAATGGTAATAGTAATAATAATAACAATAACAACCATAATGTAAATAATTCATCATCCAATAAGGGTAAACATCAAATTAATCCATATTTGGATAATAAAAATTCTCAAAGTAATTTGAACGTTAAATCTCAAAAGAAACAATCATTATCTCCTCCTACATTACCAAACTCCTCCCAACAATCATATGTCCATCAAGAAAAGATTGGCTCTGTGAATTCAAAAAACTCCAATAATAACAATAGCAATAATAATAACAATTCTAAATTGTCAAACCAACAATTCCATAGGTCTCCATTATTAGAAGAATTTAGAAACAATTCAAACAACAAGAAATACACTTTAAAGGATATTTTTGGTTATGTGTTAGAATTTTGCAAGGACCAACATGGTTCTCGTTTTATTCAACAGGAATTGGCTGTAGTAACTCCTTCTGAAAGAGAAGTTATATTTAATGAAATCAGAGATCACATATTGGAATTATCTGATGATGTTTTTGGTAACTATGTAATTCAAAAGTTTTTTGAATACGGTTCAGAAACTCAAAAGAATATATTAGTAGATCAATTTAGAAATCGTATGCAAAAGTTGTCTATGCAAATGTATGCATGTCGTGTTATTCAAAGAGCTTTAGAGTTCATTGAATTACAGCAAAGAATTGATTTAGTGTTGGAATTAGCTGATTGTGTTTTACCAATGATCAAAGATCAAAATGGTAATCATGTAATACAGAAGGCAATAGAAAGAATCCCTATAGATAAGCTACCATTTATTTTAGATTCATTAAAGGGCCAAATATATCACTTATCTACACATGCTTACGGATGTCGTGTTATACAAAGATTATTGGAATTTGGTTCAAAAGATGATCAAACCCGGATCTTAGAGGAATTGCATGATTTTATCCCATATTTAATTCAAGATCAATATGGTAATTACGTTATACAACACATTTTACAACAGAAAGATGAAGATTTAATGAAAGAAAATATGTCACCAAGTATTGCAAAGGCTAAACAAGAAATTGTTGATATTGTTTCAGAGAATGTAGTTGAATTTTCCAAACATAAATTTGCATCTAACGTCGTTGAAAAAACTATTCTTCATGGTAATGAAAAACAAAGAAATGCAGTTACTTCTAAAATAATTCCTCGTGATTTAGAACATGCGGCTAATTTAGAGGATAATGCACCAATGATTCTAATGATGCGTGATCAATTCGCCAACTATGTCGTTCAAAAATTGGTCAGTGTCACTGGCGGTGATGAAAAGAAGTTGATCGTTGTAGCAATTAGAGCATATTTGGAAAAATTGAACTCATCAAATTCGTTGGGTAATAGACATCTAGCAAGCGTTGAAAAACTAGCCAACTTGGTCGAAAACGTTGAAGTATAAACACCTTTTCAAGGAAGCAAAGAAGGAAAGACAAAAATAGGATTTTTTAAAATTAGTCCTTGTATTATCGTTCGCTTTTTTTCTTTGGTTTTATCGTTTTCCTCCCTCCTATTAATGAAGTTTGCTCATTACTCTCCCCTCATACCGAATGCGTTGTTGTTTCATATCTTTTTATCTTCTTTGTTAAACATCATTTCATCCTCTCCTCTTGATAAATATGTTTGCTGAAATCACTCTGAAAATTATAATAACTATTACCCCATTACTGTATATATTTAAATAAACATAATCTTATGTACATACAAAAATTATACATATTCTCGCCTGCTTTTGATAATAGTAGGCTGTGATTTATTATAATATAATGTTATAACCCATAATTTATGACGTTTCATATTGGTTTCGTTGCAATGATTATTTCTATAGTAAGTCCCAGCCTATCAAAAGTTAACCTACAAAAGCATAAGAAAATGTCCAAGCCATTACAAAACCTGCTAGTTCCCTGAATAACGAATCAAAATATATCTCCTGGATTGGATTGACATAATACTTAGATGGTTTAAATTTACAAATATATGCAATGAAAATAGTCGATACTACAAAATAGCAACAGAAAAACATTAAAAAGCCATAAATTGATTCCAACTGAAGTATGCCTGCACCAATCCCAAATACTAAAGATGTACTATCTAATAAATATAATAATGTCTTCTTATTCGAACTTACATTCTCAAAAGAGTGTATCCCAACCATATCTTCATGATCCATCCTGTAGGTATTAATAATTATATACTATATGTATCTTACGCCTGATTTCTCTTCTTATAAATATATATCAATGAATAAGTCAATCAATTGCTCAATCGTTGGCATCTTGGATGATACTGACCACTTATCGATTGATTCAGTTCCTACTTTAATATTCATCTCTTTTTGATTAAATTTCATCAAAATTTCAGTTCGAAGTTAATTTTTTGACGACAACATATCAGTGAAAAATTTATAAGATATTTTAAATATAAGAGCATCTCATCTCATCTCATCGCTACTTTTGTAAATGTTGTATTTATGATATGGGAGTTGTACATCGCTAGAACTTGGGGAATATAGCATTTCATTACATTACATTATGCCTACTCAATTAGAGGAATTGGTTTCATTTTTACACTCACCTCAACCAGCAGTTAGACAAATTGCGTTAGACAATTTAGTTGGTTTTAGTACTGGTCCAACAGCAAATATTTTTAAATATGACAATTATAGGGCCATTAAGGATCTAAAGGAGCTATCTAGGGAAAATTCCAAGGTTTTGGTTCAACAATCCGTTACTATCTTGGCTAATTTATGTGATGATGTTGAAATGAGAAAGCTAATCGCTGATGATAAAGAATATGTTGAATATTTAACATGGAAAATTTGTGATTTAGAAAATACCAATGCTGATATTATGTGTATTCTATTGAGTAATATTGCCAAGGAAAATATTGTTACCTGTGTCTTCGACTTCACAAGAACTGATAGTGATGGTGACAAGAAACTACCACCTTTAGACAAAAATGTTTTTAAAAGTAATAAAGTTATGGATTGTTTAATGGACTGTTTTGTTAAAGGTTATGATAGAAAGTTGAATAAATTTGCTAACTACGATTATTTGTCTTACTTTTTCGCAGATATCTCAAGATTCAAAACTGGTAGAGAATATTTTACTGAAACTCAAGAGTATGATAACGTCGTTCCAATTTCAAAACTACTAGTATTCACTGAAAAATATGATTCAAAGACTAGAAGAGAAGGTGTTGCATCAACTATAAAAAACTCTTTGTTTGATGCTTCTACCCATGAAAGAATTCTAAACGATGAAGATATTAATTTGTTACCTTATATTTTGTTGCCAATTGCAAGTGCAAAGGATTCCGAAATTGATGAAGAAGATATGTTCAACCTACCAGATGAATTGCAATTACTTCCTGAAGATAAAGTTAGAGATCCTGTTCCAGCTATCGTTTGTGTTCATTTGGAAAGTATCTTATTGTTATGTACCAGCAATGCTGGTAGAGAATATATGAGAAACAAGTCAGTTTATCCTTTAGTTAGAGAATTGCATAAGAATGTCGAAAACGAAGATATTGGCGAATTATGTTACAGAATTGTTAACATGATGATGAGAGGTGAGCCAAATGCAGGTCCAGTTGAAGAATTACCAATCAAAAATGGTGAAGATCCTGAAGAAGAAGAAAGTGAAATGCAAAATAAACAAATAGAGGAAGATGACGATGAAGATAGCGATGAAGAAGATGCCATTATAGAAGTTGTTTAAGAACAAAAACTTATAGAAAGAAAAAAATGGACGATAATTATTTGTTCAATAATTAATAGTAATAATATATATATATACGTATCTACATAATATGTACCATAAAAACGAAATCATAGTCTTGAAGCCTATTTCTTTAATTCCATATGTTCATTGTCAACCTTTCTACAAAGTTTCTTGACAATTGCAAACATAAGTTTTTTGTTTTCTGGTCCAGGGTATCTTTTTCTGATGGATTTACCAAAATCCTTAACGTTAACTTTATCATTACCAATAGCGTCAATGACATCTTGCTCAGTAATCAATGGAACTGACTCTGATTCTTCTGTCTTTATCTTTTTGGTTTCTGGAGTTGTTTCATCAGATTCAATAGTTTGATCTTGTTCCATTTCTTCACGCTTACGTTTGGAAACTTCTGGATTCCATTCGCCAGGAGCAAAATTTTCCAATACTTTCTTGTCCGCTTTTAATATTATGATGCAATCTTTGATACTCTTAACCATGACTTGTGGTTCTCTATAACTTGTCTTCGCAGAACTTTTCATTTGCTTTTTAGGAGATGATTTCCTGGATGTTGGAAGTTCATCTGATGATTCTTTCTTTACTGGTGACTTTTCATTTTCCTTATTCTCTAGATCAGATTCTGATAAGTATGGATTAATTTCACCTTCATCTGAAGAATACAGTGCGGCCAATTCAGTTTTTTGTAATGCCTTTTTGATTCTTTCACCTTCCTCATCAATTTTCTTTTCTCCAAATAAATCGTTATCGTTTTCGGTATCATCAGGAAGCTGCTCATCATCACGTAGACCCATTGCATTTGCCTGTAACATTTCTTTCTTAATCCTTTGTTCAGACTCTTTGTTTTCTTGTTCGTTACCGTCTATGATTGGGGCTTCTTCGTCATCTGCAAATTCTTCATCATAATCAAGTTCTACTTCAGAGTTATCATCATGCTCACTTTCACTTCCTTCGATATTTCTACGTTGATCGGCTACTGCTTTTAGTCTTCTTCTAGTTCTATCATATCTTGTTGTTGTCGTACCGATATTATCTAAATGTTTCATTAACCAACGAGGAACTTCACCACTTTTTTTATCCATACGTTTTTCAGCTTCTTCGATGGTCAGCGTAGCATATTTATTTCTGGCGGTGAATTTATAAACTTTATCAGCTGGAATCATGGTAAAACTACCATCATCTTCTACTGCCAACATAACGTATGAGTCGGAATTACCAGCTTCATAGGAACCTACCCAAGTATTATAACCATCAAAATCTTCCATCACCCATGGATAAAATTCTTCGAATCTTAACTTTTTGGCATTTTCATCTAGAACTTTAATTTGACGAGTCTTTCTTCTTGAGTTACCTCTTTTAGCACGACCACCACCATCTGGGGCAACATCGGCTAATGGATCCATTGTACCTGCTTCAAATACTTCTTCTTCAGCTGGGGCTTCTTTACCGTCATATTTAACTAAACCAACTTTGGAAGGGTCTTCCGCTGGACCTGCATCTTCTAATTTTGTAACTACAATGTTAGGATTATTTTCTGCGCCTGGTTCTGTACTTTGATTAGGAACATTATTTCCATCTGGTTCTTTCTTGACTACGTTGTCAGCACTTGGAGTAGAAGTTCCTGTGGATGATGAACCTGCGTCGATTGAAGATGGGGTCATGGCAGGTGGTTTTTCCGGTCCATTTACCTTAGAATCCAATGGATTGGTAGGGGGAAGTCCATTAGCCACTGGAGTGGGGACATTTTGAGATTTTGGATGAATATTATTAGGCATATTACCAGTATTTGGACCCCCGTTAATCTGAGCCTTTTTATATTCTGCAATTTCTTTTTGTCTTTCAACAATTTCAGCTCTTGTCAATTGAAATTGTAGGTTTCTGGTGTCCTTACGATGCAATCTGATTGGTAAATGGAAATCATTAGAAGGGTTAATTTTTTTTTTACTTTGAAACTTTAAAAGATGAGTTCTCATGTTTTCTAAATTTTCTCTTGATATGGCTCTCAAAGGGAATTCATTATACACCTCGCCTCTTTCATCTTCTAATTTCATTCTTCCTGCTACTTCAACACCAGTTTGTTGTAGCAATTGTGCATTTCTTTCGTCTTCGAAACCTGGATCATCCTTCTTCAACATTCCTTTACCACCGTTTCTAGCCCCCATTCTTGCCCTCAAGAAATTTCTTCTATTTCTATCCGGTTTGATGAATGGAGAAGCATCGACTGATCCAGTACCACCACCTCCACTAGGGGTGGCACTTCTACTAAACGTACTTCTACGCATTAGGAACAGATATGGTTACAGGATATTTCACTTACTACTAATCTAAAAAACTTGGCTTAGTAACAAACAAATATGCAAAATAAGGTCTAACGTTACTTCGATGACCAAATCTTGAACACTTTGTGGTATGTAACTGCTCTATTATAGATTATATTCACAATATAAGTCTTGAAGCGATATAAAATTTGATAGGAAAGACCTGAAGTTTATTTGATTAAAAGAAGCCTTATTCTCTTTTTATTTTATTTTTTTGATATCTTCTTTTCTATCTTCTGAAAGGATACTAGTTTCTCAAACTTTTAAACTTTCAACAAGCAGTACGCAACACGATATATTAAATGTCTTGCTCCCCCTTTCGTGGTCCTCGTAGCCATTCGTATTGTAACTTTAGATAAAGTGTATCGTTAAAGGTAGCTTTGTCTGTTTTTAACTTGTTGAAGTATCAAATTTCAAATTTCAAAAAAAAATTTTCCGTCAAAAATTGGGACATTTTAGGACAAATAGGGACAAATATGTCGTTTTGCATGATTGTATCACGTGGATTATGTTCACGTGATGCAGTTGGAACGTACAATTATCGATCTAATGGTTCAGTTTGAGTTACTTTCGATTAAACCAAAATCGTATTAACAATTATCACCATACAAGATCACCATTCCACTTCTCAGAATAACCTCCAGACTCCTGTTCAACTGTCTACTGCCTGTAACACCATTTTGTTCAGATATTTTCCTTCCAAATCAACCAACCAAATTTCGAAAATTAGGACAAAAAAAAGCAAAAATCAGCGATGAAGTTCGAAATTTGTCATTTTAAATAAGAACTCAACTATATCACATAGTTTATTAAAAAGATCAGTAATATAAAATCGAGTTTAAAAGTAGTATTTGTTGTTATATATTTTGGTTATTGTTAGGATATATCGAATCTGGTGAGTACAAATTTACCTCTGGTTGTTTTTATTACGAGATGTCTACAGTCGTTGATCCTCAAGAGGCTTATGAGTTGATTACCAAGAACTTACAAGAAGTTTTGAATCCACAAATTATTAAGAATGTTTTAGAAGTTGAAAAAAGACCATTGAAGTTATACTGGGGTACCGCTCCAACTGGTAGACCACACTGTGGTTATTTTGTTCCTATGACTAAGTTGGCTCACTTTTTAAAAGCTGGTTGTGAAGTTACTGTATTGTTGGCAGATCTACATGCTTTCTTGGATAATATGAAGGCTCCATTGGAAGTGGTTAACTACAGGGCTAAATACTATGAATATACTGTCAAGGCTATTTTGAGAAGTATCAATGTTCCAATTGACAAGTTGAAGTTTGTTGTTGGTTCTTCTTACCAATTATCAGCTGAATACACTATGGATATCTTTAGAATGTCGAATATCGTTTCTCAAAATGATGCTAAGAGAGCAGGTGCTGATGTTGTTAAACAAGTTGCTAACCCATTGTTGAGTGGGTTGATTTATCCATTAATGCAAGCTTTGGATGAACAATATTTGGATGTCGATGTTCAATTTGGTGGTGTCGATCAAAGAAAGATCTTTGTCTTAGCTGAAGAAAACTTGCAAGGTTTGGGTTACAAGAAGAGAGCACATTTGATGAACCCAATGGTTCCAGGTTTAACTCAAGGTGGTAAAATGTCAGCTTCTGATCCAAACTCTAAGATCGATTTGTTAGAAGAACCAAATCAAGTTAAAAAGAAGATTAACAGTGCTTACTGTAGTCCAGGTGATGTCGAAGATAACGGTCTATTGTCTTTCACTCAATACGTTTTGGCTCCAATCCAAGAATTAAAGTCTGGTATTAACGGTAAGTTCGAATTCTTCATTAACAGACCAGAAAAATTCGGTGGCCCAATCACTTACACTTCTTTTGAAGAATTAAGAGAAGATTTCAAAAATGAAAAATTATCTCCTCCTGATTTGAAAATTGGTATCACCGATGCTATCAATGGATTATTGGCTCCAATCAGAGAAGAATATGCTGCTAGCCCAGAGTTCCAAGAAGCTCAAGCTAAAGGTTACCCAGTTGTTACACAAGAAAAAACTAAAAAGGTTAAGAAACCAAAAAACAAAGGTAGTAGATATCCAGGTGCGGCTAAACAAGCTTCTTCAGATGCCGCTGTTGAAGAAACTGCAGAAAAATTGAAAGAAACTGCTTTATAAGTTGAAAGTTTTCGTAATAAAGCTTAGCCAGTTGTATATTAATTGTCTAACCATTTTATTTCTCCCATATTATAATTTTTAGTTTAATTTGACATCTATATAGAAAAAAATGAAGATTGTAAATGCTATGCATGTTAGTTGTATATAATAGGAATTAAACAAATACATATTTCCGTTATGAAACAAAAGAGGAGCCTGTAAAGTTATCACTAGGCTCAAATAGTTTCCCAACCACCTAGATCTGAATTTCCATCAGTTAATCGGAACACAATATGAGGCACTGAATTACCTAGTATTATCTCATTGACCAAATGTCTATATCTATTTGTATTAAGATAAACCGGTGCATTGTATTTTAAATCTTCATCTGGTTCACCATGCCTATTTAAATATGGAGCAGGATAAAATGATCCTCTATTGCCATACGATAAATAAATAGTATTGCTTTTGACCAAAATGAATGCTCCAAATGATGATATCACTTTACATTGATTTCTAGAATGGTTCGTACATTCTCCTTGAAGATATCTATGCAACGAAGACAGCTTCTGAACGTGAACTTTCGTACCACAAAATATACAGTACGCCACATCCTCTTTTAAAGCCTTATGTGCCAGTTGTTCCTCATCATTGACAAAGAACTCAGAAAGGCAGTTTGGTAGTTTTATAAGGCTTGGTGGTAAAAATGAATCAAGACATTGGATATTAGACAATCTTTTTATCATATTTGGTTCATTCTCTTCTCTACCATATCTAATCGGTGAAAATTCATTTTGACTCAATTCAATCACCATGGATAAATCTCTTTCATAGTAATTTTTCAAAATGTCATAAAAATTTGGTAAATGGAAAGAACTTAACAAATGATCAAGATCTCTGGAAGAAATGCCTCCTGTTTCCCAAGCCTTATCAATAGCAAAGTGAGCGAATGAAACAATTGAGAGTTTGGCCAAAAATAGTTGTATTTGTTTCAATATAATGTAGTGAATATGAAACTTTAATGAATTGTATCTTTCAATTTCTACAGTCGATAATTTGGGAATAAACAATGAAATATACTCTTTGAATATCTCTAAACATAAGTAACCTTCATTATTCAAATTTCGGTTTTTATCTTGCGTGATTTCAAGGTCCCATGGTTTCAAATGTAAGTAATTATCATAGAAATTGACCTTTACTAAATCTCTTGATAAAACTAGCAGGCATTGATGTAACTTCCTTTTGACTAATTGAAAAATTTGGTCGCAGTAACTAGATCTACCTTCTACTAATAATATTGTTCTGCCATAAATTTGACTCCCAACGTATAATAAATCAATGTCAATTGAGTGCTGAATGAAATTTTGCCAAGTGAATACTTCCACAGAATTTGATAAATGATCATATTTGTTGTCTATCAATGAATATTTTAATCCAGTTAACAATCTAATAGTCAGCAACTTCTGGTTACTGATTTTCTCTAAAAACTTATTTTGGCAAATTTCTCCGTCTCTTAATGTCATCTCGATATTTGAAGAAGTGCTCGTCAACAGTTTATCAACTATGTCTATCAATTTTTTATTAACTGAGGACACCTTCAATAAGTCTTTAAAAATGCAGGCAGACCTCATCCCTGTTGCTGCCGCCATAGGCTTCCATATGTTTTTAGAATGCTTTCTTGATAAAACGTTGCTGGAAAGAAATTTCGAAAAATCCTTGTTGTTACAATCGCTAAATTTTGGTAGAAAGGAGTTGCATAAACCATTGCATAATGGACAACACATTAGTCCAAACCCAAATGAAACAGGTATATTTTTCGTTGTCTGATTGTGAGCTGCACTTATCGATTTCATGTGATTGCTTAGGCACGTAATGTGGGCACCATGACCGCATGCGCGAAGAACTTCTTCCTGTTTTGTCATTTCCATCCCTTCATTAACATTTCTCAACTCGTTTAGCTTAGCTTTATCGTGTCCTAAAAATAGTCTGCAAACAGCGGAAGGGTTCCCAAAATTGATACCATGGTCACATATATTTACCTCCAGGTAAGAAAAGTATACAAAAATATCATCATCCTTATTCATCTTACAAAACACGCAAGAATCTTCTGGAAACTGCCATCCAGAATTCAAATCATATAGATTGTCATCAGACATTTTAGATTGTAAATCTGGTTTTTCTGGAGATGAGATGCTGTTATTTTCAATGAATTTCATCTGCTGTTTGGCTAGTTTTCTTAAGAGTTTCTCCTTTCTTAATTTCGCAAGCTGCTTTTTCTTTTCAAATTCCTCATCTTTTGTTGCTTTGGTGTTATCTGAGGAAAATAAAATATTCACATTAAAGGAAGGAGTCTGTTCTTTAAGATAATCCAAAACATTTATATGGGGGGTATTTTCCATAAGAAACCTAAAAATTTCCCTGATTTTACCATGGACACTTACAAAATTGTCATTTAGTAGGCAAGAGTACAAATTTGACCCAATGCTATGATAGTGACAATATTCAGGATGTATAACATCATATTCGCGCCAAAAAATTTTCATGAACCCACCGATATTGTTAACAACGCAAGTATGAATCAAATGTACAACCATAGGCAACAAATTATCATGTTCCATTTTGATAATATGATCCAGGGTATTTTTTAAGAAAATACCAAATGTATCCGTTGATGTGATGGCATACAATTGAGTATATGGAGTATCCTTCAATAAATGGCTAATTTTCTTTACCGGGATAAAAGTAGAATCATAACTTATATTTAACTCCTTCTCAGTATAATTCCTAATACACTTTTCGGCTTCATACCTCTTGCTTGATGATAAGCCAATATAATAAGGATCGATATCCTTAATAAATTCGGGTTTTAAGCTATAAAGACCAAAATCTGTCAATCCTGAAGGTGGTGAAAAATCTGAGTACATGTCTAAATATAGATCAAACGATACATGTTTTGTGATGTACTCTGGTATAGAGGCCATAATTTGAGTATAAGTGCAACTTTGAAAACATAGAGCATGGATAATTTCAGTTTTCATTGATCTTTCAAAGCCATCTATTGATGATGACATAATCAGTGATCGTACATCAGTTAATAGTTGAATTAACAATAAGATACACTGACCTACTATCGACACAGTGGTCTCTTTATCAGGGTAGTCGCCCATTGGTACACCATTAGCCCAATTTTTTAAACCCCATCTTCCTAAAAATGAAACCATAAAATCATTAGGATCAGCCATTGACATACTAAATTGAACATTATGAACATCACTGAAGAATGTGAATTCTCGCATATTATATTTAGTATACATTCTTAATTGATGTAAAATGGGTGCACCGTTCCTCACCCAAAACCCGACATTAATTTGACCTATCAAAACTAACGTTGAAAGTGCAGATTCAGATATCAATAGACATTTCTGTTTATCACTAAATATCTCATTAAAGTCGACCGAATTTTTTAAATTATCACTTAATGGACTATATCTACCACATTTACTCCATTGAACCACGAATTTAAAGAAGTAAGACATTGGGTTGAAAAAATTTTGAATATCTGCACCAACTTTGAAACTGACTACATCAGCAGAATGATTGCAGATGTTTTCTTTGATAAAGGCTAAGCCAGAATTCTCTAGATTTTTACCTGTTGCTGGTATGGAGGGAGAAGTAAGAGGTTTTCTAGATTGACTCAAAAGTTCTAATTCCTTTACTAGACCTATATTCGCTAATTTCATTGAAAGTTTTTTTCGCTTTTCTCCATCAGTTATCATTGATAATGTTCTAATATAACTGTCAGTCATAATTAAAATTGAAGGAAAATAAAAGTAAAAACAGGAAAAATCAAAATTCTCAAATTCCACATGTTCTGAGGTCTCTCTTTTTAGAGGCAAGATATTATTAAATTGTGAAATGCATTCTATTATCATGTTTACTATGGTATCATTTTCTAAAAGCTCTTCAGAGATTGTATTTGTTGACATTAAAACGCATAAGTCCTTAAAACAAATGATGGTTTTTCTATTTTTGATAGTTTCAGGTGGTAATCTAATATGTCTGGAGAGAACAATGGGGAAATAATCCAACAGATCCTCTGAAGTGAAAGACATTAAAGTAAATGCAAAACGTATTATTCTTTCAATAAATTGTGATCTGATTGCCATATTTGAAACTTTGGGGTCTTGGAACGTATATTGTGCTAGGATACTCATTAGTGAAACTTTAAAGCCTGAAGAATCAGATGCTACGGTACTGTATAGCACTGCTAGATAGATATCTAGATACTGAGCTGCTAAAAAGTTTTTTGTCTTGTCTACTATGGTGAACATAGTACAAATACATTTTAAAAGGCGGTTTCTACCTAAGGCCGATAGTATTTCTGCTGTATTAATTATTAGATATTGAAATCTTGATCCATGTAAGCCTTTAAAACGGTTAGCGGCAGATGACGAGGATGTGTCCGCTAGCTTTCGGTCATAATTTAACATGATTCTATGTAGCTGTGGGTTACTTTCATCTGAAAATGACCATGGTTTAAACCACGGGAAAGTTTCCTTCTCTTCATATGAAACAAGGAACCCACCTAATAGATTAATTGATTGTAAATATGGACCCATGTTGCCCTTAGTAGATTGATTTGAAACCAAATTTGAATTCCATGAATCAAGCATCGATATTCTTAAAGAATTTTTGATTGAAAGTGGAGTATTATTTTTCAAGCAAATATTAAATAGCCAATGGATTAGATCTTCTACCAAGTCCTGTTTAAAAATATCGTTCATTTTTCTTAAATGGGAGGTGACACCTTCACTCTCAAATTCTTTATGGATTCTTTTCAATTTTAAAAAGTCTTTGCTATGGACAATTGTCACCGATCTTGCACCTTGTTCCAGTTCTTTAGTGATGCTTATTGCGTATTCTATTGGTTTTTTAATAATTTTTGAAATTTTTTCCATTAAATCGATATAATTTATATTAGTATCTTCCTCGTCTATCTGTAGAGTCCATACTTCATCGTGTGGCATTTCATACCCAATTTCCTTGTTTTGTACAGTACTATAGGTACCCTTACTATCGTCAATAATAGTTTTTGAAGTATTTCTAAAAATATTTGAATCTCTATCAACATGTGATTCTTTATTTTTTTGAGCTGAGTTTTCCAAAGTTTCAGCTAGTGGCGTAACGTGTCTTAAGTTTTTAAAATATACTGATATATCAATAATATGATCAAGTACTTGATTAAAATTTTTGAATGCATCTTCATTAAAGTCGTCATTATCATTAGTATTACCGTTAAAAAAAAAATTAGTATTGTTATCATCATCATCATTATTAGGAATATTATTATTTTGTTCATTTTTACAATTAAATGCGAATTCTGGTTTCTTAAATACATTTGGATTACCACAATGGCAAACTTTGCCCTCCGGCCTTATAACAGATTTTGAAATATAAGTATGACCAACATGTTTATCCTCGTCGAAACACAATTCACAAATTTCATATAAAGGATTGATAGTACAAGTCAGACAGTAATAAACAGTCTGAGTTGGATAACATTGTCTATTACAACAACTTCCAATATGTAAATTTTCACTTGAATTATCTAAATTTTTCCAATTCCCCATGGTCAACGCATTTGAATAAGTACCATTATACCAATTAACAGAAGTCAATACATTTATCAAATAACTCCAATTAGGTTTAGAATACAAACAAGTATTTAAAACTTTCCAAACATAAAAACTCACTGCCTCATTATACTCGCAATCCAAAAGTTTCGGAAGATGCACTAAAAAATCACGTAAATTATCAATCAATCTTGGATCTTCCATGATAAAACCCAATATCTCTCTCTTTGCACAACTAAATCTACCAAAATCAAAAACTTCTTTATCTTTTTAAACTTCACTTCAAAATAATAAATATTACTGGGGAAGAACAACCGGAACTAGAGATAAACCAAAACCAAAATCAAAGTAAAAAGGTCAATGTCTTAGTGTTAAACAGTTCTAACCCCTCGCAGACACCTCAAACTGGAATATTCAGTCCCTATAACCTACATTTAACAATAAATTTTATGTGTAATGTGTATATATATTTATACAAACTAAATTAAAGGTATGGTTTCCCAATTTCTAAATTTTTTTGATATCAAATTTTGAGCCATCGCCATTAAAGAAATATATAAAAAATAAATGAATGATCTGAGGTATAAAATTAAAGGAATTGATGGGTAAATATAGAACAGAAGATATGTTTGATAGCATTTAATGTCATTTTAAATTGAATTTTGGGATGTTATTTTTTGTTTGAAGTGAAGAAACGATAAAATTTGGTTTAAGAGATGTTTAATTAGCAAGAAGTCTTGTTTGTTTAAACAGGAAGTTTAATAGACAAATTGGGATTATGCTGAAAAGTTTTAGTTTAAAGGTTTTGGTTTAATGGCTGATTTAATGATAAATGTTGTTAGATTGGGTACATTTTGATGTATATTTAATGGAAAGGTTTAAATTAAAAGGTTGGTTTTTTCTTTGATGTTTTTGTCGTTGGTTTTTTTTATGGTTTCGGTTTCTCAGCTTGAAAAATTACTAATCAATTAATGGGGGGGGTGTCTCTGACTGAGAGAGAGAGGGAAAAAAACGTAATTGGAATTATTCTGAGTTGAGGTTTCAACTAGTTTAGTTCATTGAAAGTTGATTTTATTTGTGGATTTTAGTTTAAATTTGGAGGGGGCGTAGATGGATGATGATGATTATGATGATGATTCTGATGATTCTGATTAAATAGAATCATTCAATGAATAAAAACTGTTGATCTGATTTATGGATAGATAGATAGATAGATAGATTGAAAATCAAAAACATAGCTTGATTTAAGGTTTAGGACTAGTTCATTTTCGATATTTATATATAGGTTTTCGGATTCAAGAACATAGCTATATGGAATAAGGGAATATGTCGTTTGATGGACAACCAATTACTGATCATATCAGCATGGGTGATAGAATGCATGGTATGTCTGATCTAGTTGAAATAAGAGATAGATTAAGAAGAAGTTTGAAAAGCATACATAATGATAAACATTTCCGTGATTGTAAAGATTTTAATCAACGTAAAGTTATGAATAAAATGTTAAAAGAATATATCTTTCGAATTCTTTATTTCACAATTGCTTCGGATGGAAGATTACTTAAAGCTTTATTCCCTCCTCAATCTGATTCATACGATTTTTCTGATATAAGGGAATCTATTGTAAATTCTTATGATGAAAGTTACAAGGAAAAAGACCAAAAGACTGGTAGTGATGAATGGTATCCTACTGTATATAACGATATTACTGATCCTAATTACGAATCATTTTTAAATGATATCCCATTTTACAAAATTGGAAGGTTCTCTCAAAAAGTATCTGGCACGCATCAAGGAAGAAATTGTAGTCGTAAATTTAAAAAAGGTGAGCCTATGTTTAGATGTAAAGAATGTGGTCTGGACGATACTTGTGTCCTGTGTTCAACTTGTTTTAATCCTGATGACCATAAAGATCATCATGTCTCCATGAATGTTGCAAAGGATTCAACGTCAGGAATTTGTGATTGTGGTGATTCTAGCGCTTGGAAGACTGAACTTACATGTCTGGCTAGTCTCGATGTTAAAAATACACAAGTTGAAGATAGCAAGGATAATGAAATTTTTAATACAGATGAATATAAACAACTTTTGGAAATGGTCATTGAAGAAGCCTTTTCCCACTTTCTAGATGTCTTTAATCAAACCATTGAAACTGTACCCTGTCTCCAGACCGATATCACTGAAAAGCTTAGGGAAATGGTGCAAAAGAGTAAATTTGATGAAAAAAATAGGTTCCTCAAGGGATTATCTTATACTAATGATTTTTGCAAAGATGATTATATTAGGGAAAATAATTCCGATGATTCAATTGCAAGTTCAAGTTCAAGATCAAGTTCAACCTTCAACTATTCAAAGGAACCAAAAAATTACTCCATCTTGGTTTATAACGATGAATATCACAGCTACTCAGAGGTGATAGCGGCACTCAGAATAGCACTTCAGGATGATGCTGACGTGGATTCGTCTGACTTTTATTATCAATAAAGAAGGTCGAACCATTGTAAAATGTTCGCGTGACTTATCTGCTTTAACTGGCAGTTTTTTCTCTGTTAAAGGAAGTGAATTGAACGCAACATTGACTTCTTGGTCTGAATACATTCACCAAGAGTCATGTAAGTATATTATTCGCTGGATGTTGGATTGCTTTAAGGTCCCAAATGAAGAATTTCAATCGGTTTTTAGGGAATCTCTGTCCAAAGTGCTTTGCTCTAGAGTTGATACCAATATATTTTCAAAAGATATGACAGCAATCATTGATGAGTATTTCTCAAGAACAGATTGTCATGATGAATTTAAATATACTGACTTATCAGTGTTAGATGAGGGAAATGTGATCCCATTGGGTCATCATAGAAAGCTATCTGATTTTAGCTTGGATTACATTTCATCATTTGTAAATGAAACTGAGCAAGATACATGCGTGAAGTATTCTAATACATTCGTACAGTATATTTTCTTCTTTGAAAATAGATACTGGAAGAGATTAAGGGAGGATCTTGAAGATTTAATTATACCAACCCTATCAGCAAGTGTGGTTCACAAACCTTTATTTTGTGAACAATTCGTTGAAATATACAGTCATCTTACAAACCATGTTGCATATCATGATCGTGAGCCTCATTTATCCTTTCTACAAGAAAGTGTCGTTCAACTTTTTACCTGTCCTGAAAATGTTACTCTTATTTTGGAGAAAGAAAAATTCGAAGATATAGTTTGGTCAATATTCGACGTGTTTAAAAATTGTTGTGTAATAGAAAATGGATTTTTAGTTTGGAAAATTCCAACCAAGAACAATCCAACACGAAGTTTGCCAATTTCATTTAAACAAGGGTTGCAGGCCATTGCGACATTGGTTGGAAAATTTGAAGATGCAAATTCATTATTACTGCCAAGACACTTTATTCCTATCGTCACTATTTGTAAAGTTTTTGACAATACCTGGAAGATTCAGAGAAAAACAGGGGAGCATGTAATCCATGAGGATAAAGATTACTTAACATACTGGGATTTTACACAATGGATATATAGCATTGTTGGTACTGTTCGAGAAATATTGAATTCGAGATCTGACATTGATCCAAAGCTGTTGAATAACGCCATTAAATTGATGTATACACTATTTTCAGTAAAATCAATTGAATATAATAATGGAATAGTTCAGGACTTATTAACCTCTTTTAAAGTCAGCTCGGATCGAGTTCCATATATGCATCCAACACATACTCTTTTCTCATATATTGTTGAAAGTTACACTAAAAATGTAAACATCGAATTTTTGAATGAATTGGGAGATTTTTTCCAAATTGCTGATAAATCTCTAACTTCAATGGTTTTATGTGCACAAATTGATGTTGGCTTGTGGGTGAGGAATGGAGGTTCGGTACTACGTCAAGCTACTTATTATAGAAGAAATCCTTTATTGGACATATACTGTAGAGATCTTCATTTAGTTCAATTGTACTTGGTTTGGAGTAGCACTCAAAGTATAGATGATTGTATCCATGCTTTATTAGTAAGGTGGGAAATATTTGATTGGTATTCAGGAGTTCATCAGTACACAGAAACTGTTTTTGAAGATAAGTTTAATCAAATAATTAAATGCTTTATTGAATTCATTTATTGGACTTTGACTGAAGATAGATTTTTTAGAGATCATATTGAACCGGATAAATTTACTTCGCAAACTATAAGAAAATGTATCATCTATAAATTGCATATCAAACCACTTACCTATTCACTGCTAGTTGAAGGCATGCCAAAGGAGTATTATGAGGATGTAAAAAAATTCGATATGATTCTCGATGAAGTAGCTGAATATGTTCCACCAAGAGGGATTGAAGATGTTGGTATTTACAAATTAAAGGAAAGTTTGTATTCCGAAATAGATCCACTTTCTTTTGATAATATTGATAATGATTTCGAAACAAGTGCTATGGAAATTAAGAATCATTTATCCAAGTCAAAGAAAAACGGTGTATCTATTGTATTAGAACCTAAAATAGGTTCTTCCAAAGATACTGTACATGCATTAAAACAAATTGGTAAGGTTCTGCAATCAAAGTATTTTACTAAATGCATATATAGACTATTACAGCTTTGTGTGGAAAATGGTGAGTCCGTATATTTATATGAATTGCTTCATTTAGTTCATGCAATACTAAAAATTCACGAAGACATTGAAACTGATATAAAATTACCTCAAGCTTTTTTGTTGATACCTATCTGTAATCCTTTATTTTCAATAAAGTATATTGGTTCTTCATCATTTAGTGAGCACATAAAAAACAAGGCAGGATTTTTACTTCAATATATGAGAAGCAGGTGCCCTGACGAAGTTTATGAATCTTTGTGTGATAGCTTTGGACAATCTACAGTAGATATGTTTGCTAGTACAATTAACATTGGATCACTTGATGAAACTGAGAAGGATCGCAAGAGGAGGTTGGCAAAAGAACGTCAAAAAAAGTTATTAGCCAAATTTTCTAATCAACAATCAAAATTCATACAAGAACACGAAGCTCAATTTGAGGGAAAGTCTACTATTTCGGGTGAAAATTCTGAAAATGTAGGAGACTCTAGAAATATGGAACCAAGTGTCATAGAAGAAACGATTTGTAGTCTCTGTCAAGATGAATCATGCGATGATGTATTTGTCTCAGTGGGATATTCGGGCTACACATCTATATTTAGGAGTGGGCATATTA